CCAGTCTGTTTGCCTGCCTATACTTTCTGCCTTGATACTGGCCAATCAATATTTCATTAAACACATATAAAGAATAAATCTTTACAGAGTACAAGAACATTATCCTACAATAAAGAATAAATCTTTACAGAGTACAAGAATATTACCCTACAGCAGTGTTTTCTGATAACTTAACAAATGGCATCATCAACAAATAGTTAAATAGAAAGCATAGGTATTGTTAGACATCCCTCCCTAAAATGATAATGAATATTATGAAGTGGAAACATTGGTATGTAGCAGTGTCCTTCAACTACATCGTCAGCAACAAATGCAGATATTGCAATGTTTCTTCAACACACTTAACTGAAATACCTTGTCAATACATGGTTACAGTTGCACTAATCATACTATCCTTTCTCCATCAGATGTGGATAAATGTCTGAGGTGTCGAGAAGACCAGTATACCAACAGAGAACAGAACCAGTGCATTCCAAAAGCTGTGGTCTTTCTGAACTACAAAGACCCCATGGGGATGGCTCTTGCCTTAATGGCCTTATGCTTCTCTGCATTCACAGCTGTGGTTCTTGGGGTCTTTGTGAAGCATCATGACACTCCCATTGTGAAGGCCAACAACCGGAATCTCACCTACATCTTGCTTATCTCACTCATCTTTAGTTTCCTGTGTCCCTTGCTCTTCATTGGGCATCCCAACTCAGCTACCTGTATCCTACAGCAAGTCACATTTGGAGTAGTATTCACTGTGGCAATTTCTACCGTGTTGGCCAAAACAGTGACTGTGCTGCTGGCTTTCAAAGTCACAGCCCCTGGAAAAAGGATAAGGTCCTTCCTGCTTCTAGGGGCACCCAACTACATAATTGCCATCTGTACTTTCATCCAAATTATTCTCTGTGCAATCTGGCTTAGATTTTCTCCTCCCTTTATTGATAATGATGCAAACTCTGAGCATGGCCAAATCATCATTGTGTGCAACAAGGGCTCAGAGACTGCATTCTACTGTGTCTTGGGATACCATGGCTCCCTCGCCTTAGCGAGCTTCATTGTGGCTTTCTTGGCCAGGAATCTCCCTGATACATTCAATGAAGCAAAGTTGCTGACCTTCAGCATGCTGTTGTTTTGCAGTGTCTGGGTCACATTTATCCCAGTCTACCACAGCACCAAGGGCAAGGTCATGGTGGTTGTGGAGGTCTTATCTATCCTGATTTCCAGTGCAGGCCTACTGGGATGCATCTTTGTCCCCAAGAGCTACATAATTTTGTTAAGACCAGAGAGAAATTCTCTTCAAAAATTAAGGGAGAAAACATCTTTCTGAACACATATTTCACAAATTGTAACTGACAGCTATAGTGTTGATGCAGATCTACATATTATAATAAAATTCAAGATATAAATTAACTAGTGATCTTGCTGCCTGGACAGTCACCCAAAGTTCTTCTGTAATTTGGGGGCATCCATCTTCAGACTTCAGGCCCATAATATCTAGCTAAATTTTCCATGAAACAGAAAATTTGAAGATGTTTTGCCATGTTATGGCAAAATTCATCAGATGCTTTCTTCTGTGTCCTGCAAAATGTTTGGCAGGCCTTTCATATTGAAGAATCTTGAAGGATTGTCTCATCTTTAGGCAAGTTCAACAGTCATTTTTCTGTGTATCCTGCATGTCCAGTTTACATAGCATACCATCAAGCAGTCCAGGCAAGAACATTTTCTTGTCCAAATGGATAAAAAACTCCATAAGGAGCCTCTTTGATGCCCATCATCCTCTTGAAATAGATTAGAGATGCCAGAAGCAGATGTGTCTCATTGTCATATAAAGTCATAAGTTCTTAAAACATTGTAAATGTCATATTCTGTACATCTTTGAAAGGTTTGAAGAATACCTATCCACCTTAAATATATCTCTGTGCACCTATAAAACCTAACTAACTTGATTAAACACTTGACTATTATAGATGACTATCTACCAACCTGTATTTCTTATTTATAAATTATATTTTAAAATGAGCTATACAAACACAATTAATCGAGGGTATATATATATATATATAAATTGAACTTAAATTTATATCAATAAACTAAGATGTACAGCAATGCAAAGGACTCATCTCTAAGGCACATCCCCCTTTAAATATAAACAAACATTTATAAACAATAATTTAGGAAATTTGGTCATTGTTCTCTAGACTACCTCCTGATGATTGGGTGCATTATTAATCAGGTCTTTTATGGGGTATCCTGTGTGGTAGGTCCATCTAAGCCTGTATTCCTGAAGCTGTCATGAATATTGGACCATCTGGGCCATTGTTTCAGGAGGTCTTGTATGATTAAACCATATTAGCCAGTAAGGAATCCATCTCTCCTCTGTGGAAACAAAAGCAGAACCTCTTTTCCAAAGTAACATATCCTTACACTCAAATTTTGAAGTCAAAATACCTTTTAAATATATATGTTTATATAGATGGTTTAGCTTAGCAGCCTGTACATCTTTCTGTACTTAGCTCATTCACAGTAAAAAAAAAAAAAAACCTGAAAGAAAACACAATAAAATAAATAATCCAGACTCTTTATATGGTTTGCTTTTCTGTCTCTTTTACTTTTTTTTTTTTTTAAAAAACTATCTATATTCTTTTATTCTTCTCTCTCCCAAGTTTACGTACATTTATCTAACACTCTGACCCATTCAAAGGAATTTTTCCTTCTGAATTTGTGTTTTTTTGCATAAATCTGTAATATTTGTAATCAGTTTTTGATCAGAAAACCAGGAATACTTCTTTTTTTAATTGCTAAGCGGGCATGGCTAGGACTAAGGCTGTTTTGCCTTTTGCCTTTGCCCTATCTAACATTGTGGAGGTATGTAGCAATCTGCTCAAAAACCCATTCAAATGCTCCATGGATGCAGCTCCCGACAGAACCAGAGGCTTTCATGTCAGCAAACCAGGGAATGCTCCCCTAAAGAAGCCATGTAGTCTTTGATGCCAATGCTGAATCAGGAAGACCTCTCTTAAAGAAGCTATTGGAGCCCATGCTTGCTGCCAGCAAATGCAGCCCATCTGAAACAAAATGCCATTACCAAGAAGCTTTACTAAGCTCTGTTCTTTTGTGTCTAGAAATCATTTCCACCTCTCCCTGGTTTTATGTGAATGTAGTTGTCCCACATTGTTGTGCCATTTTGTAGTAGGAGCCTGCTCAATTGTTTCCTGGCTGCCCAGTCCCGAAATAATCACACAGAAACTGTATTAATTACGTGCACAAATGCTGATGAGCTTTCTAAGCTCACACAACCTTTGCTTCATTTCCCCATCATTCCTCTGATCAGGTTATTTCTCAGCCACGTTGATACCCATTTGTCCTACTCTATCCAGGCTACCTTTGGCACAGCTCCAGCTATTGGGCTGCCCTGACCTGTTCTAGCCAGTTTCTCTACATGTTGCTGCTATCATACACCAGAACTGTGTTTATAAATGTTGTGTGAGGGATATAAAGTGAGAAATTTTCAATGTTCCTGTTTACAAATTTACCACTGGAAATCTGTGATAAAGTGGGTAGGATAATTATCTAATGTCATCAGAGAAGCCTCAATCTATGGAACAGTTAAAATTGGCATTTTAGGAGTCTGCCCAGTTGATTGCATTCTCCAGATTACTAAGGGCCAGTCCAGAAGGTTTAAGTTTCCACTGCTCCCAGTTTCAGATTAATCAGCTCATATACAACAGCAATTGATATAAATCATCACATTGTCATTTTCTAATGAGAGCCTAAATTTATTCAAGGTAGTACTAACTATTTGAGCTCATGTTTCAACAAACACCAATACTGAGAACACCAAAATGTCCTTAAACAATATTTCCCCATTAGTTGAATATAACTATCCTTTTGTACTGAAACCCATGAAACATTTATGCAGAGGTATCATTTTGTGCATTGTAACATGCTGCCTTGTCTAAGGTCTAATATTTTTGAGTCTTACTGTTTTTAGTATCAATACTCTAATATAGTATTTTGGAATTGGACTAAATACTTCACCATATTTTTTTCAGTACTTCAAAATGATCTTCCAGCACACGCTTGGGGATTTCTAAGCTGAATATGAGCATGTGCACCTTCTCTTGTTCATAGGTCATCTTTTTGAAGCTCTGTAGACTCTTAATATTTGTATGGATGGATTCATACATAAAATTAAGCTTAATATGTCTTACTATCTTTCGAGACGGGGTTTCTTTGTTGAAGTCCTAGCTGTCATGGAACTTGCTTTGTAGATAAGGCTGACCTTGAACTCATCAAGATCTGCCTGCCTCTGCCTCCCAAGTGCTGGATAAAGAAAGGTATATGCCATCACTGCCTGGCTGAATATGTTTTTATTAAAGTATTTTCTTGAGTTTTATTTAATGCTGAATTTTCTGATATGTCTACAATATTAGTATCATGTAAAGAATTTAAGAAAAGGAATTTGATTCATTTGTTTAGGCTTGTAGAGTGGTATTTCTAAGGTACAACAGGACACAAGGCTAGCACAATGGTGTTCATTATTTACCCATGGACAGCAGTGCTCTGAGGGTCACTGGAGCTTGACAGAATCATGGAGTCTAAGCATGATTTCAGAGTCATGCACAGACATAGCCCTGTTTGGATGATGTCTGTCAATAACACAGGTTTGTACATATATTTTCATGTGTTCCACTGCAGATCTCTCACTCTCTTCCATGAATGCAAGGGAGAATGGCCTACTTTCTTAGTCTCCCTAATCTACATTCTATCTGTGTTGAGCCCTTTCAATGGAACCATATACTGCCATAGTAGTAAGCCTGAAGCTTACTACTCAAGTAGTAAGCTTTCCTTCTTCAGTAGACTCAAATACTTTCTCTTTAACATTAATTTTCTGGTGTACAAGTTTGGAGGAACAATTAATACATTCAGCAAATGTATGAGAGACTTTTACTGGGGAGAGACAAATTCATATGCACCCAATCAGTCAAAATGGGAACTGACCACAGAACCAAGTGTGCTTTCAACTGAAATCCATCTTGTTGAACCAATGGATTTTATTGGGTTATTTACTTATATAAATACAGGACTGGAGTTGGTTACAAGAGTAAAGTTTACCCAAAGATAGTTGCCATCATAAAACTCCAAGGCAGCATGAAATACAGATTTTGAAAGTTGGATACCCACAGCATACTACACACCTACAGGCATATCTACATGTTAAAGGGCACTGTATCTTACTGGCTCAACTCATTAAACCCTCTTTGAGAGAAGTACTAATCTGTGCTAGGATCTATTTCATTCTGATAATCATGTATACACATGTAGTCTGAATCCATTTACAACATGACTCCTACACCTAAGCCTCAAATATTGTACAATAGGGGGCTAAATATTGTAAATCAGAAGACCAGAATTCCTTCTGTGAAAAGGGCCTAGTAAAAATGTCAGAAAAGCTCTATCTATGAAATCTCAATAATATGGTAACCTAAACAAGACCTGCACAATGACATTACCAGTCAATATTTCAACACTGATTAAAAATATCTCCCAAGGCTCCACTCCAAAGATGAAAAACTGCAGGCAATTAATAACTGCAGAGGGCAAGGACCAGTTTTCTTCAGATAAAAGCTCCCTAGTAAATTATCCGACCCCAAGTGGTCATCCATAAACACATGAGAGCAACATTAAATGGACTCAGCATGTCTTCTTATGTATACATATGCACATATATATTGTATCTATATTACATATGTACTTATGAATATAAATATAATATACTCATTCATTATTTTGTTATATATAAAATAATATATAGGTATACAGCACTAATACTTAAAGGATGATTATAAATTTCAGAGAAAGTTGGGGACACCTGGGAGGTTGTCTAGAGAAGACCAAAAGATGTAGAAATCATGTAGATACCCTACTCATGTATGAAATTCTTTTTTATTTTATTTTTTTAATTTATACTTCTCTCATATTTTATACTAAGGAATGAATAACATTACATAGCATGGAAATAAATTAATCAACTTGTGAAAGACAAAATGTTATTTAAAAACTTTATAGAGCTTTTATGATATGTTAGATCTTCCAAAGGACACTCAAGGATACCCAAGGGACTGTGACTCAAACATGGATATGTGTGTATGTGTCTTATAATATAAATTACCATATATGTATCAATGTGTTTTGATGTATATATAATACAACATAAGCATTGTTTATGCATGCATAATCTGTTTAATTCTCAGAAAGATCCTGTGGCAATAGGAACCCATTTAACTCTTGGAGAAAGGGTAACCTGTGTTAATAACAAATGGAAGATCATTCAAGTAGTCACAAATAAATGAAATTTTAAATCATAAAAACAAAACAAAACAAAAAAACAGACCCTCTTCGAAGCAGCAAGACTGATACAAGTTTCTTCAATGGAATTAAGCATAGTGAACCTTGTCAGTTTCAGAAACTTCTTGAAACAATTATGAATAGTTTATTTCCTCTGGATGGAATGCTACAGTCTCCAGATACAACAGCACATTCTACAGATTTCCCCATTTTGTCTTCAGTATGAAGCATTTGTGATTGAAAAATAAAATGTTTTTTAAAAAAAGTTTCTGTGACATATTCAGAATTTTTCCTCAATATAATAATAAATAAGAAAAAAAGTCTTGATTTTTTTCTAAGATTTTGAACATGACTTAAAAGCTTCCACAAGTTTCTCATGTTCATACTGATTCTCTTTTGTGGACCCTGCATTGGTCCATAAGGACAGAGCTTGAATAAATTATAAGCCATATTATTTAATATGGAAACAGTGGATTCCAGTTTGAATTTTCTGATGTTTTCTTAGGGGTGGGTAAAGACTTTGCTATATACACTGCACTTATAAGGTTCTCTCTTGTATGACTTCCTTGATGAGTTCTAAGCCTGGCTTCCTGGATAAAGGATTAGTCACATTCAATGCACTGGTAAGGTTTCTTCTAGTATGAATTTTCTCATGTTTTCTAAGGACTGAGCCAATGGCAAAGGATTTCTCACATTTACTACATTTGTAAGGTTTCTCTCCTGTATGAATCCTTTGATGAGTTATAAGATTGCCTTTCTGGTTGAAACTCTTGTCACATTCACTGCAGTTGTAAGGTTTCTCTCCTGTATGAATTTTCTGATGTATTCTAAGTTTGGCTTTCTGGATAAAGTATTTGTCACATTCGCTACATTTGTAAGGTTTCTCTCCAGTATGAATTTTCTGATGTATTCTAAGATATGAGTCAGTGTTAAAGGACTTCCCACATTCACTACAATGGTAAGGTTTCTCTCCTGTATGAATTCTCTGATGTCTTCTAAGGTTGGTTTTCTGGACAAAATATTTGTCACATTCATTGCATTTGTAAGGTCTCTCTCCTGTATGAATTCTCTGATGTCTTCTAAGACCTGAGCCAGTGGTAAAGGATTTTCCACATTCACATTTGTAAGGTTTCTCTCCTGTATGGACTTTCTGATGAGTTCTAAGATCAGCTTTCCAGATAAAGGATTTCCCACATTCACTGCATTTGTGAGGTTTCTCTCCAGTATGAATTTTCTGATGATTTCTAAGATCTGAGACAATTGTGAAGGACTTCCCACATTCATTACATTTATAAGGTTTCTCTCCAGTATGAACTGTTCGATGTCTTCTAAGACCAGAGCCAACGGTAAAGGATTTCTCACATTCACTACATTTGAAAGGTTTCTCTCCTGTATGAATTACCTGATGTGTTCTAAGGTTGACTTTCTGGATAAAGCATTTGTCACATTCATTGCATTTGTAAGGCTTCTCTCCTGTATGAATTCTTTGATGTAGTCTAAGAGATGTGCGGAAGGTAAAGGATTTGCCACATTCATTGCATTTGTAAATTTTCTCTCCTGTATGAATTCTCTGATGTTTTCTAAGACCTGAGGAGGTAGAAAGGGATTTGCCACATTCATTACATCTGTAAAGTTTCTCTCCACTATGGGTTCTGCAATGGTATTCAAGGTGTGACAATGTATAGAAGGACTTATTACATTGTTTACATTTATAAGGCCTCTCTCTTCCACGAATTTTCTGATGTTTTCTAAGACCAGAGCAACAGATAAAGGATTTTCTACAATTTTTACATTTGTAAGTCTCCTCTTCAGTGTGGATTCTGCCATGTCTTTTAAAGCCTAATGAATTATAAAAGCACTTGCCACATTCTGTACATTTGTGGGGTTTTTCTCCATGATGGATATTGTAATGTACTTTGCGGTGTGACAAATTCAGAAAGGACTTATCACATTCTATAAATTTATAGGGTTTCTCTCCAGGATGAGTTCTCTGATGTTTACTGAGTCTCAAATAGGTCCGGAAGCACTTTCCACATTTCCTGCATTGATATGCTTTCTCTCCAGTATGGATTTGTTCAATTGTGTGTTCATGTTTAGAGTCAAAAAATTCATCACATTCTGTATTTTTGTGTTCTTTCTTTCTAGTGTGGATCCGTTGATATTGACTGATTGTGGAACATAAGCTTAAACAATTCCTGTAATCTTTATATTTGTATTGCTCTTTTACGGTGCTTCCACTTTCATGTCTCTTTAGGTTTGATAACTCAGTAGAAGTATCCCTGTGACTACCACTTTCGTAATTCTTGCAGCTTTGTATAGTATCACTTGTGTCAGAAGTTATACACTGGGAGGATTTGTGAACCATTTTGCCAGGCTCATACCATTTGTGAGACTTCTCTTGAATATACATATGCTGATGAACAACATGCTTTGAGTCTTGATCCAAGACATTCTCATATTTACCACATATACAATGGTTCTCTGGAAAATTAGCACAATTAGGGATAATAAGGACTTATGCTTGGTTAAACATATCCAGTAACTGATGCATCCTTAAGTTCTTTAAGACAAATAAATTAGCAAATCTTAGGAACAGAACTCTTACTCGAGGCTCAGAAGGATCTTTACTCTCATCTCCAATCAAACCACAAGGACCACATTTTTATCTAATCTTCATACTTTGCAGAAGGTTGAACAAATGGGCGATGGAGCAATAATGTACTTTGAGAAAAGCGCTCTTAATGATCATATGGAGAGTGCTTCTCTTTTTTCCTTGCTTATATTTTTGAGAGAGTCACACCGTGTAGCCTTCATTAGCCAGGAACTCACTGTGTAACACAGGCTGGCCTGGAACTCACCTCCCTAGTGACAGGATTAAAATCATGCTGTGCTAGGACTAGAGACCATAGCTCAGAAAAAGTAAAAAATAACAACAATATACACACTACTAACATTTCTTTCTCTATTTTAAAGTCACTTCATCTTTTAAAAATTAGAAATAGGTAAATAGCTTAATCCAACAGTAAAAATAAAATACATGTCCTTACTTTGAATACCAAATTTCTTTGAATTTCTTTGAAATTTTTTGAAATTCCAATATTCAATCCTTAAGTTAGGATTAAAAACTAAATAAGGGGGTTAGTGAGATTGCACAGTATATAGCATTGGGTGCTCTAGTAGGGAACACTGAAAACATAATGTTATGGCTATTATTATCAGAATTTCCCTTATTTCTGCCAGTCTCTAGATAGATTAGAGAGTTTACATACCTACAATGTAGATAAATACAAAGGAAAAGTCAGAAATTCTACAAGAAAAGTATTCTTACCTACAAAAACTAGATTGCTATAATTCTCCCGCATTACATCCATGTAGAGAGCCCTCTGAGAAGAATCTAGACAATCCCATTCCTCCTGAGAGAAGTCCACAGCCACATTTCTGAATGTCAACAGATCCTGTAAAGGGAAGTTACCCAATTACCATGTGCTTGTGGGCAAAATGTTTTCCTAAGTAAATTAGATCCAGGGAATTAGAGATACCTCCATGATATAGATGAGGTACAATATTATTCAAAAACAAAAGTTTTCTAACAATGTCACAGAGATGGTTCAGAAGTGGCTCATCTGGAGAACCCAGGTTTGGTTCCCAGCACACACAAAGCACTATTTAATAGATTATAACTCTAATTCAAACAGATCCAATAATGTCCTCTGAACTCTACAGGACAGAAAACAAATATTCTGGCAAATATATCCACATATAAAAAATAAAAGTGAAGGTTAATTTTAATAGACTATTCATAATTGATATTGTATTTTCTGTCTTTATGAGAACTGGATAGCATAATAGACTCACAATCAGCAAACTGTGAGGCATTGTAAAATGCACCTTTGAGGTCTAAGTGCAGGATGTGCCTTTATGAATGTTATATGGATATCAAAAAGGATCACATTGCTGCATTATATATGAAAACATATGAGCAAAACTGCTTCCAAATTCTACAACCGCCGATTTTGTTCAAATATGGACACTGTATCAATCCTGTCTGCAGATGGGCTTCACCTGACTCTCTTCTAACATGCTCAGTTGAAATCCTGAAGTCTAGATACAATGCTGCATCCTTGTTAGAGCAAAGAGGCAGAATATAGAATGCTGAATACATGGATGGATTAAAAGTCAGAGTGTTTTCTTTAAACAGTAAAGAGGGTAGCATTAGTGTAGACATCCAACATTCTAAACAACACATTGACTCAAATACTTCGTGCCGTTATTGTAATTAGAATATCTTCCTAACCATTACGTAAATAGAAAAATTAGCATTAATATTAATATTATATAAATTTTCTAAAAGTCAACAAAACTAATACTGATGAATTATAATTTCATCAATTCCATACAAGGGTACACTACACAATAGTTTGAAAAAAATGTGTAAATTCATGTACGATGTGACAGTGCATTCGGATGAAGTAGATTTTCTGTGATCAACATGATTACTTTAAGTTGTGTGAGAATGATGCTAACTCTTCATCAGTTTTCAAAAATATTATTGCTCATGACATTGTCTCAATTGAAAATTTGAATCTTGTAAATTCAACTATTATTCTTTTCTTTCTTTCTTTTTTTTAAATGTAAGAAGTGGAAAGCTGTCTATTGAAACCTCTTTACAGAATCTCTGCCTATGTAATACATAGCTTCAGGGAATGGAAATGTAAAGGGGGAGGGGAAGAGCCTCCCTCTGCCCAAAGAAGAGAGCAAAGTCATTAAGAAGGACATTTGTTTATGTTTGAAAACTGATGGCTTGTGCACAGCACCCCGTCAATAACTCTGGAAAATTCTTATTACTATATTCCCCATGATGCAATATAGAGGTGGGGGCAGGACTGCTTACACCTTGCCTGAAAACTAAAAGTTTTACAAAACACCGATCTGTCTATTGAGAACTTCACACTGAACACTGAGCAGCACCTCTCCTGAGACAAGAAAAATTTCAGGTGTCAACACACCCATCATCACTGTGTGATAGCAAATAGCAAAGATAAAAAAATCTGCTCTACTGCCATCTGCATCTCCTCTCAGACACGTCAGTGTTCCAGCAAGAACAAGCCATATATTGTTTCCACCATCTCCACTCTCCTCAGTGTTGCAACAATTACTACTACGACTCAATACTCTGAGTCTCTTTATTTCTACTTTTTCATTAATAGCTCAGAGATGTAAGCCAAAAGGTCCATGTATTTCTAGGGCTACTTTCATAAGATGGTTCTAGAAATCTTATTATCCCTGCAATGCAAATCACGTGGCACACGAGACCTTCATTCCTCACTAGAGGACCCAAGTCCATCCTCTGTAGGAACTTGGCATCAATATATTTCTCTGATCATCATTCATAACAAATCTTTTAGAACTGTAGCTTTTAAGTGCATGGAAAATATATGTCTTCACAGAATAATCAAGGGAGGACGCAAAGGAACAGAGTTGAGCAATGTGGTGACAAAATTTAAAGGTTTAATCCTACTTATCAGAGAAGAAAAAGAAAAACATGATAGGAAAGAAACACTTTAGATTGTTTTACTAGAGGTAGGGAATTAAAGGCTTGCATGGTTTAGATAATATTTTTTTTTAAAGTAATATGGACATGATACTGACCTGTGGAGCATTTATTGGAGAAGCAGCCATTTGCCCTGTTGCTCTTCTCTGAGTTTCTGTCTTAGGACCAAAGACTGGAACTCTTCTTGACATTTTACATCAAGATCTCAAAAAAAAAAAAAAAAAAAGCTAAAATTAATATAACCCTGCTACAGACAATGCTAAACCATATAACAAAACCCCCAAACAAAAATGATAGCAGCAATATTGTCGACGTTTCTATAGACAAGAGAGCATGGGAAGATATATTTAGAGTGATGAAAGAAAATAGCTATGGACATTATCAGTGCACCCAGAAACGTAGACTCTGAAAATTCATGAAGAAGGAAGAGCATTTGAAGGACGTTATGAAATAACACATGTCATTCACTCAAGCAGCACTAAAGATCATAATTGGAAGTAAACTATACATAGAAAAATCTGAGAGAAATGATCCATGAGAAAACAGGAAATAAAGATATTTTACATAAAGAATAGATCAATAGAGGGAGAGCTGGGAGTAACCACCATGCCCAACTCATGCGAACTGCTATTTCTAACAGGAGGGAAGAAAATGCTACCAGTAATTTTGTCAATGGAATATTTTTAAAAAATCATATAAGGGTTAGGGCAGTGGTGGTGCACACCTTTAATTCCAGCACTCAGGAGGCTGAGGCAGGCGAATATTTGAAAGTTTAAGGCCAGCCGAGTCTACAAAGTGAGTTCCAGGACAGGCTTCAAAGCAACACAGAAAAATTCTGTCTCAAAAACACAAACAATTCATATAAGGAATAAAATCCCTGTGACATGAAAATCTCATTAGAAATCGAAATGTCTACAACATTGAATGTTCAATGAGTTTGTGATGAACTCCTAAAGGAGCTAGGAAGAAATGGAACACAGTTCAGAACAGTAAGGGCATGTGTGTCACACGTCAATCAACAGTACAGTACAGCAGAAAAATAAACAGCATTAGCAGAAAAACTGTAAAGAGGAGACAGATGCATGCATTCTCCAAGCTCATTTACTGTAGGGACATACGAGTGAACTAGAAAAGTCTGAGTAAGTCCACAGATAAAAAGGAAATACAGGTAGGAAAGAAAGGAACCTAACTCCACTGTAGTGATGATACACACACACACACACACACACACACACACAACTCCCCACAGATGCCATGGGAAACTCTTAGACTTGACAAGTGTTTTAGTTATTATTGAAAACATACAAAACTAATACACAAAATGACTAGTTTTCCTACAAGTCTATAATGGCAATTTGACCCATTCAAGTTGCTTCAGGAAGGTCTAGGAATAAGCCAAAATAATGACTTTACTTCTATGAGGAAATTTTTAAGGCACTCAGCAATGAAAAAAGAAAAGTACACAAGGCAATGAACTGCCACACACACTGATCGACAAATGACATGGTGTGATTATGTTACTAACAGCAAACAGCAGAATCGATGCAATTCCCATCAGCAAAATACTGACAGTTTCCACAAAAGCCAATATGGAAACAGTCACATGGTCACGGCAAACCCACAAATATCAATGAAAGGAGTGCAGTTCTTAGAGAAGATAAGAAATGCTTTCTTTAATAGAAATTAGCTGTTTGGGAAACTCAGCCCCTTGCCCAAGGATTAACAACCATAAGTGAGAGAGTGGAATTAACATGGGTTCTTCTCATTCCTTTGCAACAAAGCATTTTGTAAAGTTATTGAAATGATTGTTAAAATCCAGAATAACAATATATTCAGAACTACAGCTCTGCAACTTTGTAAGCATAGGAACTAAAGTAAAGAGAGTCCCTGAAAGGGGGTGGGAAAAATCCCTGTCAATTATTAAAAAAATAAATAAATGAGCATGGCAAAACATTTTCTGCATGACACATCTTGGATGGGCTGGCCAAATGGGTACCACAGTCACTCGGCCTCCAGGCGAGCCACATGCATTTGGGGCTTGTCCTCTCAGACAAGCAAACTGGAACTCACAGTTCTCCAGCCCCATTGCGTTTTCCAGGGTCTGGGTTTGGCTTAGCGCAGCACAGAATGGCATCTGATGCAACACATCAATTGCAAAGAACGGTGAGCAGGGCTCTGCTGTTCCATCATGAGCTAGCCTGGCTGCCCCAGAGCTCAGTTATTGTGTTTTTTTTTTTTTTTTT